ACTCGTGATATTATTCGTGATAATTGGAGAAAAAACAATAACGCGCTCTGAAAGCTTGTCTGAGAGTAGTAAAGGTTGTCTGAGAGTAGTTGTTGACTAGTATGAGCTGTGGTAAGCGTGCGATGATTTATGGCGATTTTTATCCGTGATAAATGACGTGATGAAAAAATCATCGAAAACCAAAAATCTAGTCTCGTAAAAATAAATGTTAATCGCCTCAAAGCACACGGTTTAAAAGTCTATTTTCGAGGATTTGAAGTCTCCCATTATCTTCCGTGTGTTGCGATTTCACCATTCTTATGGCTCGGGTCTCCGAGCCATTCCCCCATTATGGCCCTACTGGCAAGGCGCGGCATACCTAGGGACGAGCAAATTATGGAAATATTATTTCCCTACATTATTCTGGACCGATCTCTGTCGCCTACGCCAATGACTGGGACCATCCACCACGACGCTGTTGCATGACCAGGATCAAAGCCGCGGCGCTATCCGTCATCGCCCGCTAGGAACTCAAGATGAATGAAGACAAGACGAAAGAAGCGCAGGTATTCAGTTCGACGCAGGTTGACGCGCCGACGCACGCGGCCTCTTTGGCGTGGCGCATGACCAAGAAGCTCGGCAGCCTCCTCGACGACGCGGCCGATCTGCGCGTTCGGAAGAGACTGGCGACAACGGCGTTCAACAACATGTAGAAGATCCGAATGCGTCGAGGCCTAATCTCGGAATGCAACCGTGTGCGGCTGTACAAGTGTTACGTGCTCCCGGTCCTTTTGTACAACTGTGGCACGTCGGCCCTGACGCTAACGAGTCTCGTGGGCCTTGACAGCTTCCATCGCCAGCAGCTGCTTCGTCTTTTACTAGTACGTATCTTTCACCCGAGCACGCTCGGCGACGTCGCACTCTACAAGCGCTGCAACAGCGTCCCGCTGAGCGAGATCGTTGCCCGCCAGCGCTGGCGCCTGCTGGGCCACGTGCTGCACATGAGTGAATACGTCCCTGCCAACATTGCCGCTCCCGGGCCGCCCCGTTTTTTGGCCGCACCAACAAGATCACGTTGCCGATCGTCCTGCCCCGCGACCTTCAGTCGTTGACGCCGCCTCAGTCGTTGGCGTCTCTCGAGGACCTCTACGAACTGCGTAGCTTCGTCGCCGACGGCAAAGCCTGGAAGGCTTTTACATATGATGTCGTTATGGTCCTCACCCCTCACCCGTGGCCACATGCGCCCCCGGGCGGCTACAGAAGAGAAAAAACGAGCCCCTGCGCCGCCGCTTGCGCAGCCACGGCCCGTCGAGCGAATGAAGAAGGAGATTGCTAGTCCAAGCATATGCGAACTCTTCGTCGCAACAAAGATAACGCGAAACACGTTCACATACTATATATTAAAAAGATCCTAACAGCTCACCCCGCACGGGACCTGTTGTAGCATGGATGGCGTGAGGCAATGGGCGTGAGGTGCTTTTCCAATGTTGCTTTCGATGGCAGAGATGCGCGCCGAGCTAAGAGGATTACAAAGATCAAAATTGTTGCCGCTTCAACCGTGGAGCAACCCTCCGATTTTAAATCCATGTTTTAAATGATATTTGCGTTTGTATCCGACCCGAAATATTAAAAAAGCCGGACCGTGGTCCGTCGTGAAAAAACGCAAGCGACAACACGGTTTCGCCCGGCTTTTCTATTGAGCCATTTGTATTGGCCAGCCGGAGTTGGGTATCATTTTCGAACCCGTCGCATGAGCCGAAGCGGCAGTAGCAGCGAGCGCAAGCTGAGCTGGAGCGCCGGCGAAGGAACGCCGCTGCTGAGCCCACTCTCGCGGTCCGCGACACGGGATGTCAAGCTCGAGATCTCGGGCTCCGTGCGCGACAATCAGGAGAAGTGGAAGAACCTAGCTGACGTCGACATTGGCAGCCTCGAGCAGCCCGGCGTGCATTGCACGGCGCAGGACATGGCCAACGACATCGACAAGGACCTCGCCGACCTCAAGGCGCACGATCTCTTTGACGACCGTCTGCCGCATCGCTGGTCCCGGCGCGGGTCCATCTCGCTCAGCGGGACAGGCATCCCGTCGCCCATGAACTTGCCAAACACGGTCAACAAGTACATGGTCGCGGCGGCTTTCATCCTCGATGGCATCCACGGACGAAAGATCGGGTACCGCGTCGACTATACGTCGCTGCAGCTCACGCGCATGTTCCACGCGGACTGGTACCGCCACGTCTTCAACTTCATCTCGCTTGTGTGCTGTGCGCTCGCATTTGTCGAGAACGTTCAGCACTCGACGCACTACCTCTGGGTACCACACACTCCTGGATGCTATTGTATCTCAATGACTGTTGTAGGTCGAGCTCGTCTGCCTCGTGCTCTTTGGCATCGACATTTACATCCGGTACGCCATGAGCTCGGACATTACCAAGCGCCAGTTTCGGAAGCGCGAACCATGGGCGACCGTGCGCCTTGGTCTTATTGCGCTCACGTTTCTCGACATTGGCCTGTACTTTCTCGGTGTTGGCGTCGCCTTGAACCGCACGTCGCGCATCTTCCGGCCTTTCTTTCTCATTGCGCGCCGCCGCAACGTGCGCGTCGTCTTTGGAAGCTGCATCCGCGCGCTCAAGGACGTGTTTGTCATCATCTGCCTCGAGTTTTGCCTCGTGGGCTTTTTTGGGCTCATGGGCTACCTCCTCTTTGCCGACTCGAGCGTCATCCTGGGCGTTCCGTTCTTCTCGACGCTCGGCGACTCGCTCTACAACATGCTTCTCATTAGCTCGTGCATGCCTGCCATGGTGCCGGTACGCCACGGCTGGATATGTTGATGGTGCAACGACTTCTGCGTAGGTCATCTTGCCATACTTTGAGCGGTCGCAGTGGAGTGCGATTTACTTTGTCATTTTCGTGCTCCTCGCGCACTTTTTCGTCGCCAAGCTCACGATCGCCGTGTCGTACCGCACGTACAAGAAGAACACGGAGAAGATGCTCATCAAGCGCCTCCAGAAGCGCAAGATCGCGCTCCGAAAGGCGTTCGATCTTCTGCGCGACGACGAGGTGACGGGCCAAACCGTTTCGATCGTGTCCCTCGAGAGCTGGATTGCCATTTGCCAGTACGTTCTTTTCGTGCTCGTTGCGCGACGCAAGTAATGTTCTGTCAACGTAGGTACCTCAAGCCGTCGTGGACGGATGAGGAAGCGCAGCTCGTCTTCTTCTCGGTCGACGAAGATCGCGACGGCACGGTCGACTTTGCCCAGTTCATGCAGCTCGCGTCTGTGCTTGTGAACGCCAACATCTCCAAGCGCAACCGATATTCGATCCAATTCGACGGGCTGCGCAAGTGGCAGCACCGCGTGCGGTCGGTTCTGCTCGCGGAAACCAAGATTTTCGGCTACCCGTTCGTGTACGGCGAGATGGTTGTCGGGTTCCTCATCGTGCTCTCGATCATCCAAGCGACCCAAGTCAACAACTATGCGCTCACGTACTCGCTCAACCACACGTGGCGCCTCGTGGGTATCTCTCTTCTGTCGCTTTTCACGCTCGAGATTGCGCTCAAGCTCTTTGCGTTTGGCTACGACGGTACTGTTTTCGACATGAAATGTTGATGCGTTATGATGTCATGATGGCTAGAATTCTTCCACCGCCCGTTCTGCCAACTCGATCTGTGGATCGCAGCCGTCGGTTGGGTCTTTTACTTCCTTACGAGCCTCTACCCGGGCTTTCCCGTCGTCTTTTATGACCTCTCGCTCGCGGTGCGCTCGTTGCGCATGCTCAAGCTCCTCAACTTGATCCCGCCCTTTCACGACATCCTCTGGACCATGGTACACGCTCTCGCAATCCTTGTTGCGCGACTCATGGTGTCGGTAGAGTCGGATCTTGCCGCTCGTGTCGCAGCTCAGTCTTGTCATCGTCAGCGTCGTCTACGCCTATGCGATTATCGTACGAAGTCGACCTCGAACGATGGACCTCACCGACTCGGAAACGTAGGCCCAGGCCCACTATGGTCCTGTGCTCGCGGCTTTCCCCGAGGAGCTCAAGTCCGCCGCGACGCCGTGGTACGTCAGCCGCCAAGTGTTTCAGTTCGACACGTTTGAGAGGTACGATGCTGACGACGGCGCGTCACTATGACTGATATATCTCACTAGAGCACTCGTGACGCTGTTTGAAGTCGCGACGCTCGCTGGCTGGAACGCGGTCATGGACGCTGCGTACGTTATGACGCAGTCGGCCAGCACGCGTGTCTTCTTCTTCACGTACCGCATGACGATCAGCAACATTTTGCTCCCGATTTTCGTCGGTTTCCTCGTCGAGAGCTTTAGCTCCAACCAAAAGCCCATCCTTGCGTACGTCTTTCATGAATGCTCATCAACCTAACGAGTGTGGGTAGAGAGGAAACAGAGTCGTCGACGACGCAGCTACTGCCCGTGATTGTCGATCAAATGGGCGTCCCGGACGTCACCAAGTTACCGCCATCGCACGTCAAGTACAAGATGAGCTTCCAGCGCCGCGCCAGCGACATTCAGTCGGCCATGTTTGACTTTTCCAAGGCGCGGAAGAGCACGGCCGAGGACGAGCTTGCCAAAGTCAAGCACCAGCTCCAGTTGATCACCGTCATGAAGGACAAGGAGCTCCAAGCGCTACGCGCCAAGCTCGACGACTCGCGCGCCCTCGTCGCGTCCCTCGAGCGCAATCGCATCCTCTCGTCTAGCAACGCATCCGAATCATCGAGCAGTGGATCGCGTCCGCCACTGAGTGCCTCGGGGGCCTCCTCCAAAAAAGAAAGGGCTGCATTCGAGTAAGTAAAAGCCCGACAAGGAGACGCATGCGTTTACAATAATCCCAGGTCATTGTCACCAAGGACTCAACAATTTTAGCACATATTTCCAACTTAAACAAGAGTATGAGTGATGCGAATTCTGGATCACTGGGAGTGAGAGATTTATGTCGGCGAAAGTTGGTTGTGTTTTTAGATATTTTAGAGATACAAGGGAAAAGGGTTGCTAGGCGGAGGGTCTGCGAGCAGAAGGGCGCGTGTGCAGAAGGCGCCGCTTAGTGCGCGTCGTCGCTGCTGTCGTAGTTCGGGTCAGCACGGTCGACGACTTCGGTCGTCGGGTGTTGGTAGTCGTCGAGGGCATTGCCCCAGTTGTGGCCACCGGCGCCGTGCTTCTTGGGCTCAGCTCCCGAGCCCGCGGGGCCGCGCGATTGGCGGTCCTTGTGGGTGTTCTTCTTGTTCTGGAGTTCGCGGCTCTGCGGCATATTGATGAGGTTGAGATCGGATTTGGAAATGGACTTCCGTGGCATCCCCGGCGCCACGCTGCAAAAACGCTGGACCTTGAAGTTGCTTTAGGCACGCGCTCGGATTGGCTGCCAAGTTAAGCGCGTTTCTAAAACCAGCCAATCCTCGGGCGAATCAACATCCTGTCGCAGCTGGAAATAGATTCGGCCCGCTGGGGTCGTTCACCAGCTATTTGCACGCATACTAATGCTTTTTGTCTATGCACTTCTGCAGCAAAGAAACGCTTAATACAAACAGCAAGAGAAAGATGATACATAGCGTGATTCTAGTCTGCTGCAACTTCGAGAAAAGCAAGATTGCCCAAGCCAATTTTCGGCCGCAGATTTCTCAGGTGCGCGCAGGTTCTATGAACAGAGGCATGGGCGCCGCATCCCTTCCGAGACATGGCAACGAAGGCGTCGAATCGAATGCACCTCCGTTATGGGTTCTGCACAGAGCGCTAGTCCGATGGGACCATGCAGCTGGGACCCATGAATGGGACCGTAGATGACCATGGCGCAACGGCAGGAAACCGACGACGCAGTATTCTACCGGCCAAAGTAGCGTCAGCAAACATATACATCAAGGGGGAATTCCTTTGACATAACATCATTCCCTCAGCTCGCAGTGCGCCAACTGGTGCTACTGGACTACCGACAGCCAGGGCTGAGGCGATCGCTCGGATTGCAACTGATTTTGCCGGGACAGGCAGCATCGGATACCTACAATCAGCCCTGAACGCTGCATGGGCGTGTGCTGTTGGAGCTGCCGCATCGATGGGAAGACGATGAACACATTGCAGCTCATGCCCTTGTCGTAGATCCAAGCTTCAACGCACCCGCTCAAGATCCAGGGTTGTGGCACCATGGTCGGCAGTGCGGCTTAATTTGGCCAATCCGACACGAGGGCCTCTAATTTTAAGCCAATCCTGTTGCGCCGAGTCTAAAAAGGACAAGCCGTTGTTCAAAATATAATGCTACCAACGCCATCATTGCATACAAAGGCAAGTCAAATAGAAAATTTGTAAAAATTAAATACAGCCGAGACCAGATTTTTGAATTTTCAAATTCTACTTCCAGTTGCCAGCGCCGAGGATCCTCATCATGCAAGGGTCGATCCTCGGATGGGTAAACCACCAGCGCAAGCCCATCGACGGTCGGGACCCACATGCTGCGATGAAGAAGACCCCGGCGTCTTCTCCGTGGAAGGAAGCGCCGAAGGCCAAGCGCGTGAAGCGCACGGAGCCGGTCCCACCGATGGCCGACGACGACAGCGCGACAGACCTCGAAGGTTGTAGCCAAGAGAGCACTTGCTTCGGCGATGCCAATCACTCCAGTTCTGACGCTCACAGCACCTCCGCACACTCGCTAGCCGTAGACACCGTCCGCGCGCTGCCGTCGACGCCGCCCATGGTCATGTTCGAGACGCTCCTCGAGCCGCAGAAGATGGTGCGTCGTACGCACTATCTACCGATAACATCATGCTTTCCTGTAGATCAAGGACAGCGTGCACGGTTGCATCTACCTCGAGCCGCTTTGTATGGCGATCATCGACACCGTGCAGGTAGCGACGCCTTGAGGATGCTGTCTTGATTGTTTTCGGTGCAGTTTCAGCGCCTCCGTCATCTCAAGCAGCTCGGAGCGTCGTCGCACGTCTATATGAGCGCGACGCATTCGCGTTTTGAGCACTCGATTGGCGTCGCATTCCTTGCTGAGAAGATGCTGCGGCGGCTCCGCGACGTGCAACCGTGGCTCCCAATCTCGCCCACGGATGTTCTCTGCGTCAAGATTGCAGGCTTGTGCCACGACCTCGGTACCTGGATTATGTTTGCCTTCCCGGCCCTGAAGTGTTGTGTAGGGCACGGGCCGTTCAGCCACGTGTACGATGGTATCTTTATGCAGCAGCTTCGCGAACGCGGCGAGATGCTACCGTCCATGGATGACTGGACGCACGAGCAGGGTTCGCTCGACTTGCTCGACCACCTGCTCTACAGCAATCGCATCGACTTGTTGGAGCACGGGCTTACGGACGTCGACTATGTCTTTATCCGGGAGCTCATTCTGGGCCGACCGCTCTCAGGCGACACGTTTCAAGGCCGCCCCGAGGCCACGTTCCTGTACCAGGTTGTCAACAACTCTGTGACGGGCCTCGACGTCGACAAGCTCGACTACTTTATGCGCGATGCACTGTACACGGGTGCCAAGAGCAGCTGCGACACGCACCTCCTTCTCTCCGCCGTCCGCGTGCTTCCCGACCGAACGACGGGCGACCTCACAATGTGCTGGCCGGAGAAGCTTGCCGAGCAGCTTTTGAAGGTCTTTCGGACGCGCTTTGAGCTGCACCAAGCTGTGTACCAACACAAGGTTCATGCGTTTTCACCGCACGGCAGCACTCACAGTTGCCATTTTTAGGTCTCACGTGCCGTGGAATACATGATTTGCGACGCCTTGCTGGAAGCGGACGCGCTCTTCAAGGTATGGATTGAGTGATTACGAAGCATGGTTCTTTAAATGCCATGCAAATCGTAGATGAAGGGCACACGCATCTCACGGGCACCACTCGACATGGTATGGGATCGAGTCGCCCACTCCTTTTCTGATGTGTGAAGCATAGGACGCCTACCAGCTGCTCGACGATCGCATCTTGAGCCACATCGAGTGCAGTACGGACGTGCGCCTCACCAAGTCGCAAGCCATCTTGCGTCGTATCTCCGAGAAGCCGCTGTACAAGTGTGTCGGGAAAACCCAGATCACAACGTACTCGCAGACCAAGTCGATTCTGGAGCTCAAGCACGAGATTGCGGCCATGGTGTCACCGCCCTTGGGTACAAGCCTCGATGCATTGCCGAGGCGTCATTGCTTTTTTAGATGTTGCGCAGCTTATTCTTGAGCGCAATAAGGTGCACTATGGCCAGAAGGAGAAGGATCCGCTCCGCAACATGCGATTTTTCAAGAAGGCGGCCACGGGCGACGCGACCTGCTACCAATTGGCACCAGCGCTCTACGACATGCACTGCCCCAAGCACTTTCTCGAGTGCAACTTGCGCCTCTTTGTGCGCGACGCGTCCCTGGTACACACATTATTGTCGAGTCCATTCGTCGTCTGACATTGGGGTCCTTAGGTCCTGGCCTCGCGCGTGGCTTTTTCCAAGTGGAGCGAGGAGCGCAACCACTCGAGCTTGCACCCGCAGGAATCTTAATCAAGTTTTGGCGTCTGCTTGGACTGGGTTGGTGGCTTTTCGATGACGTGGCTGTCGTTGTGCGCTAAAGCCGTCGACGCCTCTTGCGCAAAACCTCGTAAAAACGATTCGGACACCGCCGGGAGATTGCCCAGCGGCAGGCTGTATGGCATCAAGTTGTAGTTTTGGTTGACGCTCAGGCGCGGGTCGCCACTAGTGCAAAGAGCATGAGACGTAGAAGCGCAGCAAGTGACGTACTAGCGAGGCGGTAGCTTGGGCTCTTCGAGCCGATACGCGCGCCCAGGTTGCCGCAGCGCTCTCATGACTGGGTTCTCGGTGCAGCTACCGCTACCAGGACAGCAACCATCGACGCAGGGCGAGTCGGGCGGGACGACTGCCGTTGCGTCAAAAATCTCGCGCCGAGCACCCAGCTTGGGCGTGAAGTCGCCCAGACGATACGTGCAGTAGCCCGCTTTGCAGTACCCTTTACGTGTGCATGAGGCCATGGTCTCCTTGCGCTGGCTAAAGCTGCATCCGATGCGCACGAGACACTCGCCCATTTTGCTAGTCGTCGCGTTGCTGGTGGCCCAAATTGATGAAGAATTTTGCGTTTTTACCTGTAGCAAGGGCACGTGAAGCGCGATGTGTCGTGGTAGATGCTCGGACAACTCATCTTGCAGCTCGTGACGTCCGTGGGAAAGCATCCTACATCAGGCATGGTGTCAACAATAGACAATACTCTCCACGATGCGGAGACGTGCACCTGACTTCAGCGGCTTGAGATGAGGAAGTGCCGTCTAGAATGGCATTGTATCTTCAATCAAGACGGGAAATTATGAATTGGGCGCAACCTGTGCATTTGCAATGGCCGCAGCAAGCCCAAGAACAATCATCCAGCTCATTGCTTCGCGATGATGTCTCCCGCGGCAGCTCGGCGGCGGCTATAAATACCCGGTGGGGGGGCTGTGCTATGTAATGAGGCTATTGGCCGATTTAAAATGATGTTTTTGCCAATCCGCGACGAGTAGCAAGCTACGAGACTCTGAAATGCCGATTCCACCGAGGTCGAGTCGCCAACACACGTCCGAAAAACAAAATCGCTCGTATTCAGCATGTTGATGGAGGACATTAAGGAGATCTCGAAATGCCACACCACATAGCCGTTGGAGCTGTACATCGAGAAATATTGACCGCGCAGAGTCACGACATACTAGTATGTTTCAAGGTGCCGTGTGGTCGAAAATCTCAGTGTTGTTGTTGTTGAAGTGGGTCTTCTATTACAATAGATATAAATCTCGGTGTTGTACATGCATGAGTGCGTGCTGTGGGCTCCAATTGTGGCAGCAATGAGCCACCCTCGCCCGCATGCTCGTGACCACTCAACAGGCTATCGACGCTCTTACTTGCACCAGTTTATGACTACCCCATGGAGATGCCGCAGCACGGTATCGTGGCCACATAAGACGCACGAAATCCAGTTCTACCGTCGACTAGGTGTTACTGAACACCAACACCAGAATGTATTGATCAAAATTCTTGATCATTGCGTTACACAGTGCGCGAGGCGCGGACCGAGCGAGCGTGCTGCGTCACGCGCGCATGGGCCTGAGATGGATGGCCTGCGTTGATGCGCGAGTCGAAGGCTGTCGACGTATACGTGTTGGCGCTCAGCGCATAGTTGATGGCAAACTTGATCAAGTCGAGGGGAAAATGCCACACGATCGACCAGATCCAAGCGATCACGAGGTAGCCGCCGCCGCAGCCAAAGACTGCGATACGGTCAGACGGGTAGCCGTTGAAGCCGTAGTAGCCGATCACCGAAGCCACAACTTGGGCAAAGACGAAAGCGATGAGGAGGAGGTTGCACGGCTTCTCGGCGAAGAACCACGTGTTGATGCCTGCCGTACGCGTGACAAAGATCAGCGCCTGGCCCGAGATCGAGACCTGCGTGTAGACGAGGGAGCGGAGGATACCGTCCTTCTTCTGCATCCCGGGGCCGATCGCCTTGTGGTTCTTCGTGAAGCGCGTGTTGAAGTTGGAGTAGTCCCACATGAAGTCGCAGAAGCTGACACCGTTGGTCAATGGGATGTAGCCGCGCCCGACGAATGCGACGCCGCGGCCGTTGATCGCATCGTCGAGCTCCTTGGCCTCGGCCGTGTACTGCTTGTAGAACTGCTGGTACACTTCATCGGCCGACGGCTCATGGTCGAGGTCGTTGATGTGGCTGCCCTTGAGGTGCTCAAAGAGCTTGCCCCAGTTCGAGTTCTTCGACTCGGCGTTGTACTTCTTTTTGTACCCTTCGACGTAGTCCTTGCGGTTTTTCTGGAGGAGTTCCAAGTTGGCAGGGTTGAGCGACGGCTTGTAGACCGAGCCATCAAGCTCACCGCAAGCCGCAGGGTCGTTCGTCCTCATGCACGTCTGGATGCGCTCCGTGAAGTACGAGTTGCACGAGTCCTTGATGCAGCCAACACAGAGGTTCTCCGAGTCGATGAAGCCTTCGAACGCGGACGTGTTGTACGCGACACCGACCAAGACAATCGTCGAAATCGTAAGCCAGATGCCAAAGCAAATGGATGAAATGAAGACCTGCTTGAGCTTCCACGAGTCGGGCGTGCGCGACGCCGTCACGTTGTCCTTGGAGATCGTCAAAATCGTGCCGTCGTTTAAGATGGCCAAGACGACGACGAGAATCGTGGGGAAGTACCAGTTGTAGCACACCGTGAGCAGGCCAAACGTCAAGACAATACGGACCGTCATCGCGATCGAGTACATGGCGTAGTTCTTCATGCGCAAGAAGATCTCACGCGACATGCGGATGGCCGTAATGATGACCGAGAGACCGGGCGAGACAAGAACAATGTCGGCGGCAGCGCGGGCAGCGTCGGTGGCATCATCGACAGCGATACCGATGTCAGCTTGTGCAAGCGCCGGCGCATCGTTGACACCGTCGCCCGTCATGCCGACAATCTTGTCGAGAGACTGGAGCTGGCGCACAATCTCAAACTTGTGTTCGGGGAAGACTTGAGCAAAGCCGTCCGTCTCGTACACCATCTGCGCGAGGTTGACACCCGGCGGCGGCGCCTTGTTGAAAAAGACGTGTCGAGGATGTTGGTGGGCATACCAAGCTGGCGGCATGTCTCGATGGCAATGACGCGGTGATCACCCGTGACCATCTTGACGGCAACGCCGAGTTCGATGGCGCGCTTGACCGTCTCGGCGGTATCGTGGCGTGGCGGGTCAAACAGCGGGAGGATACCGACAAGCTTCCACGAAGCTTCCTCCATCGGGACGTCGCCGTGCGAGAACGAGACACCGAGACCACGGTAGCCGCGCGACGCGTACTCATTGATGCGACCTTCGACTTCTTCGCGGAGAGCCTCGGCGTTGTCGTCCATGTCCAAGCACACTTGCGGCGCACCCTTGCAGGCACGGAAGACTTTGCCCGTCGTGTTATCCTTGATCTTGGCGATCGTGCGCTTCGTCGTCGGGTCAAACGGCGTGTAGTGCAGCAAGGTGTACTTCTCCCACATCGTGGCGTTGCCGGGGTACGTGTTGTGGCACACGACGTCGATGGCCTCGTTGTTCTCGATACGCGCCGAGAGGGCGCCGTAGAGAAGAATGTCGTCACCCGTGTAGTCGTTGTACGGCACGAGGTTGTTCAAGTCCACCGAGAGCTTGTTCAGGGTGAGCGTACCAGTCTTGTCCGAGCAGAGGATCTCCATCGAGGCCATCTCCTCGATCGACGTGAGGCGTGTGACGATGGCGTTCTCCTTGGCAAGCGCGGACGAACCAATCGCAAGCGTGACCGACAAGACCGTAGGCATGGCGACGGGGATGCCGCCGACGATCAAGACGAGGATGTTGGCGACACCGAGGCATCCATCGGTGATGATCAAACACGGGTTCTCGTCCTTGCGGGCGCCCATCTGGACGACGAGCTCGATGATGCACCAGACGATGATCGAGACCATGCAAAAGTTGCCGACTGTGGTGAGGACTTCCTGGAGACGACCGTGGGACTCGACACCGGCAATCTGCTCGGCGGCGCGACCGAGGAACGTGTGGACACCCGTGCTCGTGACGACAGCTTCGATTTCACCCTGTTTGCAGATCGAGCCCGAGTAGCCTTCGTCGCCTTCGCTCTTGGTCACCGGGAGCGACTCGCCCGTAAGCGAGGACTGATCGATCTTAACCGAGTCGCCTTCGAGAAACTTGACGTCGGCCGGAAGCACATCACCGAGACGGATGCGGATGACATCGCCCGGGACGAGCTCGTCGGCCGGGAGGTTGATCATGGCACCGTCACGGAAGACCTTGCACTCGGGCGCGAGCTGTCCCATGAGCGCCGAGACGGCGTCGCCGGCTTGCATTTCCTCAAAGTAGCCGATGCACGCATTCAAGAATAGAAGCGCGAGAATCAAACCAAAGTCCGGGTAGTCGAGCAAGACGAGCGACAAGATGGCCGCAACTTCCATGGCCCACGAGAGCGGGTTCCACATGAAGCCGAGGAAGACCATGAGGCGGTTGACCTCGTTCTTCGGCAGCGCGTTTGGACCGTGCTCGAGGAGACGCTTCTGGGCTTCGTCGGACGAGAGACCTTCGCGCGTCGCCTTGAGCTTGTCAAGCGCCACGTTGAGCGGAATCGCGCCCCACTCGATCTGGCCGGCCTCGTTCACGTAGTTTTTCGCATCGTTGGGCGTCGCCAAGTTCGAGTACCCGGTCATGCTGCGCAGGGGAGCGGAAAACTGCAAGTGCTCTTGGAGGTGAGAGGTGTTGTCGCCTCTTCTGCTGCGTAAAATCGGGGCCACGACCGATCGTGATACAGAGCTTTTCATCCACGCCGGCTGGTGGCGCCAACTTGCCATCGAGCAAGAGGGCGGGATAGCATGCAGCACGTGGTGAAGGCTCTCCCACCTGCGTTCATGTTCTAATCGCCTGGTTTATCGACCACATGAAGCGTCCGCGTCCACACGACTGAAGTGTCGAGGTGCGCTGCCGTTGCGTTGGCGCGGAAACTCGCATCCTAGAATGGCAAGCATTCATTGGCTAAAATGCCAGAGCGATATTCATCTATATGGCCAGTGATTGGTCAAAAAGAAGTTTACGGTGCTCCATGAGCGACGAGGTCGAGCTTGTGGCCACGTTCCCGGCGCCGCCGGCCTTCATGAGCCTCTACGCGGAGGGGCCGGAGATGGGGCCGCCGCCGCCCGCGCCGCTCAAGCCGACGTACCACTCCTTCGGTACGGCGTACGCCACCGAGGACGCGGTCCCGGACCTCCTCGGCGACCGCAAGCTCTACGCCACGGGTAGCAACGTCAAGACCGAGATGAAGCGCATGAACAAGTCGCTCATCTTCACCTTCCTCGAGCTCGTCGAGGTGCTCATCGCCAACCCGCCAAGTTCAAGTCCGCATGCCTATCCATCGTCGAGGTCTCATCGATGATGGGGTTGTCGTAGCGAGAAGATTGACGACATTGAACTGCTCTTTCTGAATTTGCACAATCTCATCAACGCGTATCGACCACACCAGGTACAGCCCCCACCGACGCGCGTAGCATGCGACGCCCTATGACGTAGGCGCGCGAGACACTCATCGACATGCTCAAGCAGCAAATCGAAGAGCGCAAGGAAGCGGCGGCCGACATTCGCCGGTGCGACGCTGTCTCTGTAGTAGCAGCCATAGCATGACCAACTACCGTGTAGGGTCATTGAAGAGTCCAAGACCGCGGTCCAAGCCGCGCATGCAGAACTCGACTCGGACGCCAAGCTCCAAGAGATGGTCGACGCGCCCATGTCGCCGGTCGAAGAGGCCGCCGACGTCAGCATGGACAACGACGACACGCAGGCTGCACCCGCCATCGACACCGAGGTACACACATACAGCATCGCGTGCAATATTCGACGTGTGTGCTAGAAACTGCGGCAAAATCAGCTCGAGCAAGACCGGTTCTTCGTGCTCTGCCAACAAATCATCGATAACATGAACCCCTAAGGCTCCTCAACCAGTGGTTTTTCTTCCGTGTCTTCTACAGCGCTTTGCCACGGGAGCTACGAGGCCGACTTCATGTATTGGTCCGTGAGGTTGTAGAGAGCTTGGTTGGCGCCAGTCGATTTCGACACTTTGGGCTAGACGACTGCATCAGTGACCGCATGCAGATGCGTACATACTACCGTGTAGGCTGGTGGTACGACAAACCACTCGGGCGGGGACGAAGCCAGCTGCAAGGACGCAAAGCGGGCCGTCGCCGAGATGGACGGGAACACGGGCAGCGTCACTTGGACGGGGAAGCCTGGCGGTAGCTTCTATACAAACAGTCGCGTCGTGCTCAGGCTGCAGCGCGTACGGTTTGGAAAAAGTCGACGAGTGCTGCAAACTGCGACGACGTCGCGGCGAGCACCTGCACGACGGGCAAAACTCGACCACCTACCGCATCATGGATACGCGACTGTGAAGCGATGTGTACGGTGAGCGGAAAGGTATCCGAGAGGTACACGGTGCCCGTTAGCTGCTTGGTGGATCGACTGGTCGGTGGAGTCTACCATCCCAGCAATGCTACCAAAGGGTCGGACGAAATGTTTCTACCGAATGCATGGGAATGGCAGGTTTCGGGTTCATGGCGAGAAGCGCCGGCGGCAGCGAGGTGCGGTCGATGCCAAACCACTGCTCAAAGGTCACGAGGTGGCTCGATGTGTCGGGCGCCCCGCGGACATCGAGCGTCTCGGCCTCGACCTTGTCCAGGATCGGAAATATTGCAAAATGCAGCTTCTTGGATCTACAAGATGAAGATGTGTGGGTCGGTGTCGTGGCATCGCATTCAAAGTGGCGACCGGAACATGGCGTGGGCATTGTCCCAGCGCACGATGAGGTTGCCGCTGGCCTTCGCTTTGTGGGATCCCTGCATCGGCGCGCCTTTGGTCGGGCGCACGCGCTGTTCGGGCACGACCTCGGATATCAAGTAGACCTTTTCCTACACAAGCGCGATTCAAAACGCTGTGTCCGTGCACGAGACACTGTACCGGGTCCGAGTCGGCCTTGGCGATCGCGTACCACTCGTCCGGCACAAAGCAGACGCTAAACTCAACGTCGTGGTCGTCCAAGTAAAACTTCCAGCCAATCGTGTCGCCGGCTTGCATGCCAATCGGAACCGCGTGCTCGAGACCTGGCGAGATCTCGAGGGTCGTCTCGGCCTCCTGCAGCTTGTCAAACAGCCCCGTCGCGACGGGAAACGTTGGCGACAGCACGTCCTACTCTCAGCGTCAACTCTATTTTTTTCTGCAATGCACCGGTGTCGCGCCCGTCGGAGACGGACGGTGTGGCGCCTTGGCCGGCCAGGACTGCATGCGCACACGAAGCCCCTCCATATCAAAGATTCTCGCGTCCTTCCAGAGCCCGACAGCCTCTGTCATCTGAGGTCCGTTGGGCGACAGCCAGTGGCGGCGCGGAATGAGCTGCAACGACGCCATATCGACATGCATGTTTGTCGTGCGGTTCGTCAAGAGCAAGTGGAGTTGCCGCTGGACGTCGGCGTCGGTCGCTGGCGCGTGGAGCCAGTCGCGCACGGTCTGGCGATCGTGATCGAGCGTCACGAGTCGGTCGTGCAATAGGAGAATCGAGAGCCGACCGCGCTTCCAGCGCAGGCTCTTGAAGCCCGAGAGCGTCATATCCACGCGGAGACTGCCTTGCGACTTGTAGAGTTTGATCGTATCGCTCGGCAAGAGCGAGGAGAGCATCGGGACCCACGACGTCACCTGCACACCATCAGTTGCGATGGCAACCATGCCAATACCGTGAGGTCGAGCTCGGCGGTAAAGTCGGGCATGGCCGCGAGCTGCGCCGACGCCGCCAGCAATTTGGCCTTGAGCACGTCGGGCACCTGCGCGTTCTCTACGACGACCGTTCGTACACGAGTTGCTTTCGTCGATGAGCCTACCGCGCTGGAGAAGATCGCACAGGAGGTCTTCGTTGTTGGCGTGGATGGCTCGATGCAACGCCTTCCAGCCACTCGCATCCCGCGACCGTGGCCGCGCGTGACCAACCTAGCACGCATGACGCACGACCGCTCGCTTTCATCGCGCGTTGTACATTGACGAGAGCGTCGACGACGGCCCGAGTCTCGCGATGCGCGCACTGCAGGGCAAAGTGCAAGGCGCGATGGCCATGGCGGTCGCGGGTCTCGACGGAGGCGCCGGCGGCGAGCGCGGCTTCGACCTGGTCGACGTTTCCGTTCTACATGCGCTTGAGGTCCCATCCCCGGTCGTCTGTCGTACCCAGATCGCGATGTGGAGCGGCGAGATGCTGCTGCTTCCTCCTTCCATCACGCCCACGTTTCACGGGTCTTGAACAGTGGTACAGATTTCGAAGCCAACGGCCGTTACGATCCGACAAAGAATTGCCGGCGTCATGACCGCAGCGAAGATCGGTTGGCGCCACCACACCGTGAGCTGCGTCCTAGAGTCGAAGCAAGATAGGATCAAGAGGACGAGGATACATTTTTATCCTGGAGTTTGTATACGCCTGCAGGTTTCAACGACGCTGCTGGACGACAGACAAATCTCCTCGACCTCTGCGTTTGTGCGATGCGGCTCGTGCTCGCGGCGAGTGTCCGTCCGTTTGCCGTTGCAGCCCTACCCCTGGTGCAACAGCTGGAGCGGAGCCTGGCGTGCACAGTGATCGGTGGGGCATGCTCTTCAAGCACGTGGCATGCTCCAAGAACTTTGCACCTCGGTGGTGTCTTCCCCCTCGAACGCATCCTATCCTCAAGTGACGACAGGATAAAGCTTCGGCGCTGACAATGGAAGGGAGCAGCAGCTGCGAAATGGAGCGTCGTAGCTTGAACAGGCTATGTGCGACGCGCTAGAGACGAGCTCGACGAACGTGGGCGAGGCCACGGGCCCATTTCTGCCGCACGACACGACAATAGGTCGTGGGTAAGGGAGTATTCTGTGCTTCTTTGACACGGCGGCTCCTGGGTGCTCGCATCCACTCGAGCTCATAGACTCGGTCTCTGGATATAGTTACCAAGTACTACTAACGCTCTCCCGACCAAGGCCGTAAAAAACCTTGTCCCTACGAGCCGCCGTGCGCATCTACGACCACGGTGCGAACGTTAGCGTGGTCTGGCCGTGGGTATAGCCGCGCAGTGCCATACAGACCGTGAAAGATGTGGCGGCGGGGAACATCCATGGGCCTGCAAATAGCGTGTGACATCGTGTAGTACGGTTGTGGCAGGTTCGGATGTGGCGATACGTGGCGCATCCCTGTGCCTCCATTCTAGCAAGGCGCTTCTCGCGGCGCCACCCGGGATGTGGCGGCCATGACGTCGTCGACGTTTGGCGCGCATCCCGCCTGTCCAAAGGCACGCCCGTTGGTCAAATCTTGGCGCTTGTTGGACAAAAAGGCAAAGATTTCAGTGGATATACACCAATCAAATGCGCCCTTGAACTTCAACACCTGACGACCAAGCGCGGGTTCTTCGGACTTTGCAGGCGAGATTCAACGGAAATAGTGTGATTAGCGCCATTTACGCCAGCTGCAGAGGATGGGAACCCGCTTCGTGACCACACGACCTTTCTGCGCACCGAGTGGGGCCACTTAGTCGCTTGGCACAGGCGCACTCAAATCTTAATCAATGGCTACCTCACGTCGCCGGCGGTAGCTTTTGCGTAGTCGTTGCGACTGGTGGTTGCCCGGATGCCGACGTCAAATCCTGCGCGACAGCAAATGGTAGGCGCTTGAAGCTGATGACAAAGCTGATGGTCAGCGGCTGAACAGCAGCGCGTCGGATGGTGCGTATCGCACTGCGGCCATGACGGACACACGGGTGAACACTTTACATTAATACAGTGTACACGGTACATATTGTACGTGCATACGAAGCGAGCTCGCCAGCGCCAGCAAACGGCGACTCGGGTTCGAAGAGCAGCGGCGAGAAGCCAGTCAAAGAGTTATCGGTGGTATCTCCGGGCAGCGCAGGGGGCTGTGCATCAGCAGACACACCGGACACAGCCTAGGCACTGACGCGCCAGCTTTTGCTGGCGCGAAAACTGGCGCGATGGGCAGCCATTACTCGATCTCGCTGCATCCATTCGAAAGCCCCTGGAAACAGCAGCGAGCACTGTCGCTTGGCACGTACATGTACTGACCGATACAGCGAGCAAGATGTCCTGGCGTTGAACCTCCCATGCTCAAAGCAAGAAGCCGCGCGTCAATGATACCACGATGTGAGCCGGCGCCCGTGTCAAAGACCACACGTCGCCGACGACGAGTGGTCTTTGGTTACGTGCCACTCTTGCGGCCAGCTGCACCTGCCCAGCCCCCGCCGTCGGTCGCCATATCTACGTACACTATTCTCGTTCATGATACACTATTTGGAAGCATCCATGTGCTCAGTAAAGTACGGATTGCCGCGATGGCGTTTGGCTGTCATTTTCAAGCTCGCCGGCAACATGGCATCGCACCACCGAGGGTCGGACGAGCCGCTGCTGCCGTCGTCGACGCCGTCGTTCCATCCGCGCACGCCCAACATGCGCGAAGCCTACGTGAAGCGGCTCGGGTACATTCCGCTGGCTTTCCAGGTACACGCGGCTATGACCACGCACCGTGTCACACTCACGCACCCGAATTCTAGCGCATGATGGACTTTGTCTCACTCACCCCGCGCAAGATGGATCGCGCCAAGGTGCGTCGCGCCCATACCATGTGGATGGCCCTCAAACTGGCTGCTGTTGCTGCATCTAGGCAACGGCAACGGACCACGAAGCATTTGCGCATCATCCTGCAATTGACCCGACCATGTCTCCATCGATCATCCCGCCTCCCGGGTCCATCCGCGGCTCGATCTTCAACCTCTGCGGTGCGACACTGGGCGCGGGCGCGCTCTCGCTGCCGTACGCAGTCGCGTCGTCGGGCATTACGTTTGCCGTCGCGCAGCTCGTGCTCGCGGCCTTCCTCACCGTCTACACGATCCGACTGCTCATCCGCGCCGGCGACATTACGATGCTCAAGTCGTACGAGGACCTCGCGCTCTACTGCTTTGGCAAGAAGGTCGAAGTCTTTGTCGAGCTCAACATCCTCGTCTTCTGCTTTGGCATCTCGGTCGCGTACCTCGTGACGCTCGGCGACATCATCACGCCGCTGGGCGCGCTCGTGCTGGGTGACGACAGCTTCTTTGCGCAGCGCTGGGTGCTCATGAGCATCTTTTGCTTCGCCATCATGCTCCCGCTCTCGCTCCTCAAGGACGTGAGCAGCCTCCAGTTCTCGTCGATGCTCGGCGTCTTTTCCATTATCTTTCTCGTCTTCGCCGTCGCGACGCGGTCCTTCATGGCGATCCACGCCGACGGCCTCGCGCCCGACCTCCGTACGTTCGTCTTCAATGGTGATTGGCATCTCTGATACTGGTGTGTAGACTACGTCCTCAACACGAGCAACGGCCCCAATTTTATGCTCAGCGTGCCGATCGTCATGTTTGCGTTCACGTGCCAAGTAAACGTGTTTTCGATCTACACGGAGCTCCAGCGCCCGTGCATCCGCCGCATGAACAAGGTCGTCGACCGCGCGACCACGGTCTCGGTGCTCATCTACCTCACGATCGGCCTCGTCGCCTACCTCGCGTTTGGCTCGTCGCTCACGGATGCGTCCAAGAAGGGCAACATCCTCCTCTCGTTTCCGCTCAACGACACGCTCATCGCAGTCGCGCGCGCGGCGCTGACGTTCACGGTCGCGGTCGCGTTCCCGCTCAACATCTTTCCGTGCCGCTTCACGCTCGACATGATGTTCTTCGCGTCGGCCAAGGACTCGACCGTGCGCCACGTGGCCGTGACCGTCAGTCTCGTCCTCGCGGCGCTCATCCTCGCGATCTTCTGCCCGAGCATCAACGTCGTCTTTGGCATCATTGGCGGCACGTGCTCGTCGATCGTCTGCTTTTGCTTCCCCGCGGCCTTTATCATCAAGCTCGAGCCTGGCCCGCTGCTCAGCCCGGCCAAGATTGGCCCTGTGATCCTCTTTGTCGGCGCGATCCTCATGGGCGCGGTCGGGACCGGCGTCACGGTCTGGTCCAACTTTTACCAATAGTTTTGCATTCCTTCCTTGCATGTCCTTCGTGCGACGTGTCGTCGTTCGTCCCTAGTTAGTTCAAATTATAAAAACAGAATGTCGCTATTTCAACAGGGCCATTGTGAAGTACTAGTGTAAGAGGTGACCCACAGCGCTGATGGCACCACACCACACGGTGCGTCGAAACGTCAAGATGGCCTCACAGTTCCGCGCGCAAGGGGAAAAAAGCTCAAGGCAGCCCAGATCAAGCCACCCGCGCGTGTGGCAGGAAGAAGTAGCACGTGCTCGGTGCACGACCGTTGTTGATCCAGCCGACGCCAGCAGGTCACCTCGCGGATTGCAATGATGTCTACCAACTCCCCTCGTATTGAAGCTATGACGAGCGATGTGAGAAGGTCAACAATCATCGAGGACCGCGACGGGCGTTCGTGGTGTACGTGTGCTTTTCGAGCAGCAGATGCGACGAACGAAGAAGACGGTACTCCTGGAGACGAAACAAATGACATTAGGCATTAAAGAGACGCTACACCGCGTGCCTTCCTACTACTTGCCCGTCGACGACGGCAGCTTCATGAGCGTCGCTTCCTACTCGTCCATCTTGCGCTTCTTGTTCGCGTCGAGGCTTGCGGTGCCCTTGCAGCCTTCTCGGAAATGGTCGAGCATGTCGTCGAGCGTCTGGTCGAGCGTCTCCATCTTCTCGATCGTAACTTTCCGAAATGGATTTGAGATGTAGGTTTCGGATGCGCAACCGGATACGTGTGTATTTCTCGCGCGCATTTAACTTATAGAATAATTCACTGATGAGCATACTGTTATTCAGAGAAGAAAGACATATGTGTATTTTAATACTGGTAGGAACCTCCTCTTCCTCGGCGACGTACTCATTGTCAACATTGGGTGCAGCGTCGTCATCTCTTGCGAGAACATCAATGAGTACCTTTTGCCGCGCCTCGCAGGCTGGACGTAGCCTGATCCATACCACGCTTCTTGCCCCGCTGCGTCGTCGCCATCGATGCGCCTCATGCTTTTGAGCTTCCGTGCTTTTGATGTTCACCACGATGTGAGAGGAAACTGACTGGCGCCACATCTGGCCCGGCAACGCCACGTTACACTGTCTCCACTGTCTCCACTGCATCCTATGTACCGGTACAATGTACAAGATTTTCGAGTTTATCAGCACCCGTGCTTCAACGACGCTTCTACTAGTATACAGCAGCCAATCAGACTAAAGTACACCCAAAGCGGGAGCTTTCATAAGACAAAACAGCGTTGGAATCCGGTTGTGGCACTGAAGCTCAAGGGCGCTAGCGACGACGGTGTAGAAGACCGCGCCGATGATCACTGTATATGCGCCTCCCTCGTGTTGGTGCAGCAGTGATGACAGCTGGTGAGACGCACGACAGCGTCAGCTGATCCGAAGACGCCACAACGTTCGCAGTTGTGCCAACGACAGCGATTTTGGCCTAGGGAAAATGTCAAAACTGGGTGAACGTGGGGCCAAAGGCAATACTACGTACACTCGAAGCTCTTCGACTGGCTCCAAGAGCGTAGTACCGCGCCATCGTGTACGAATCGCCCGGTATTCTTGCTTCTCGGCGGCGGTCCTTGCACGCTGCCACGTACAGTCTATGTGACCAATGCGGGTGCCACGTCATTATGCGTTGCGGAGGACCTTCCAGAAAGCATAGAAGCTTGCCCGGACGTCCATTGGCCGACTTGCCGTCTTCTGCAAAGCACACGTGGGAACACGAAACGACCTGATTTCAGATCCAGATCGTAGCTATATCAGGACGAGATCCACAGGGAGTTCTATGGCTGGCATCCTTCCGGGGATATCCAGGACGTTTTTGGTTTGAACAACCAAAGACCGTTTGGACATTGTCAAACGTTGCTGTTAGACTTGGCAAGTGTTGAAAAAACACTTCCGGCGTGCTTCGTACACTGGCGGTTGAAATTCGGTGCTTTGCTTGGTACGACCCGACGCCTTGTAATCAGCAAACACAATTCTCGAATGGTTTCCATTCTACAGTCTTGTGGCTCTTACAGGCTAGGTTGTGCGGAGAAGCTCTTACAGGCTAGGTTGTGCG